TTTGCATTGCAACACGTTTTCTATTGTCTGAAAAAAATAAAAGAAAGAAGATACTGGCAGGATTGCGAGGGATAACGAAACGTTCGTCGTAGATTTTGTTCGCGTCTTATCCGCATCCTGCGCTATTTTATCTGGCTCACTGTGAACTAAGTAAAATAGATTGGATCGCGGCAATTTGTTAGGATAACGAATCGTCGAAAAGCTGCTGTTTTTGCTCGTAAGCTGGTCGTGTTACGCAACGGATAGCGTACGAAGACTGTACAAGCCCCGTCATGGATCATTGAACCGAAGAATGAATTAATAAGCAAGGGGATACACTCGCCTTCCCGAGAATTCAATTTCACTGCGTTTTTCTCGTTCCAGTTAATGGGGAAAAATGTACAGGTCGTTTCAAAAGGGACGTCCATCCCCTTGGACGGGCGTTACTTTCTTCCATGTATTTTCATTCAATTTTAATACATCTTTTAGTATCGTTGTTTATCTTTGAATTATTGCACGCGCCGATTCCAATGAGATATAAAAATTTTAACGAATACGAAAGAACCGTTTCTGCTTCGATAACTCATTCGTCGGCAGATCTGGTCGGGTTGTTTAGGCGTTTGTCCCGAATGATGCGACTAACATGCGCGCAGGATGAAGTCACTGCCTTAATGCACTTAACATTAATGAGAAACTCGAGTGGGTCGAATTGACCTCCATTTGTTAATCCAACACCATCGACCGGGCCGCCGTATGTTGCCTCTATTCTCCTTTTATTTCTGAGAACCGCTCGAGCGTTACCGTACGGCAACTGGCTAAATGAGGAGAATAATAAGACCGAGACAAACGAAGTTAATTTGATCGATACGAATAATTACAAGAAAAAATTTGAAGGTTGCCAGCGAACCGTGAAACTGCTGCTGCACTGCTAATTGAGTCTAATCGATTCGTTCGAGTTTAGTTTGGTTTACTCGATTATCCGGTAATCGTAGTGGGAACAAACTTAATTAAACCAACGAATAGAAAATAAATAAGAATAAAAAGACAGAAGAATGAGGACAGAATCGTCTTGCAGATCGTATATCGTATTATCTAATCGAGATTGTTTACAAATCGGAAGTATGAGAAAGACTGGTTGATAGGATCTCGTTCACGGCTACCGATTCTATGCGAAAATTCATTTCCCTAGAATGGATGCATTGTTGTCGAAATGAGTTAGACTTTGTTTGCAAGGGATCGAACGACTTATCTGTACGTGTGTACACGACCCGGGAACCGCCTACGGGGAACTAGTGATTCACACGGTATCCCAGAAAACAGAGACTTCGTTTGAACATCTGCCTTCGTCGTCGAATCTTATCGCGTCTTTCAACAAGCATTTAAAACGATAACGCGTCTCCGAGGATGATGCACAGGATGTGTAGGCCTCAATGAAATTTAGATTACGATGTTCACACGATTGTTCTCCGTTCGACAGAGTTCGCTGAGACAATTCGTTCGCGATACGTTGCCGTTACTTGGCTAGTTTAAAGATAGAACAGTTGGTAGCTAGAAATGTGGCACTTTCTTAAACATCCTTGCCCCGAATTTTAATGTACACCGTCTTTTAGCAAACGTGCCTTTCTGAAGTCACGTAAGATTATACTTCGCTGTTGATCCCGAGTAATCGTTAAGACTCAGGATGTAAAAATAGCAGTCGCTTGGTCGATTGATGGTTTTGAAACAACGGCAGACGACAATTCAACGGGAGGATATGAGTCAACTGGTGTCGTGGCTGCGTAATTGAAATTAATAATACGCCTAATGAAATTTAATGTGTCTGGAAGAAAAAAAATTTGCTCGTTATCTCGTCATCTAACGAGGGATTCTCAACTTAATGCTTTTCCTTTTTCTTGTAGAATGTGGTGGACGATTACCGGTACGTTTGGTAACATATTACCAATCGATTGGAGCAAATCGTACGCTAGAAAAATGCACATGCCCGCGCTTAATTTGAACGAGGCTCCGGTTTCACACGAAAGGTAAGCTGTAGTTCCTACAGCAGCGTTTTAAGCAGCTTCTGTACTTCGTTTGCTGCTTTTCTTTCCGCAAGAATACATAGTTGATAACGATAGAAGGGACATCTCTTAATGTGTTTGAAAATATACAAAGCGCGATCGACGTTTGCAAATTAGACGCTTTCATTTTGTTTGCTATAGACCTGAACTAGAGGATTTAAGTAGCGAAGATGAGGCTGTCGCAACTGATTTGGACATGCATGCTTTGATCTTGTCCAGTAGCACCGATACTCACAGCCCAGAGGAACCGCTTAAGACTGCGGAAGAGGTACTCCGTGAAATAGACGATATAATGCAGGTAAATATACAATTTCTTCAAGAGATAAATTCACAGGGAAAGAGGGAAAAAGATCTGTTTTGCGTAGGAAAGTCCGTCGATGGAAAGATCACCGGATTCCGATGGGTCTTTATTGGATAGCGACGAGGCACTGGAGAGGAGCAGAGAAGTTCTGGGCTCTCCGCTGCACGAGAAAAGTATATTTTCATAAGCAGATACGAACCAATAAACAGCATCAGAATGGGCTTCATAATCTTGAATCATGATCGTTTGTTCTAGAGCTAAAACAACTTACCTCCAGCCAACTGACTGAGTTACTCGGGGAGATGGAATCCTTGGTGGGAGCTCTGAGCGAAACTCTCATCGCGGAACTTGCATTGCGCGACGAGCTCGAATATGAGAAAGAATTAAAGAATCAATTTATCTCGTTGTTGTTAGCAGTACAAAATCGACGAAGACAGCATCATGTCACGAGAAAGAGAAATCAAATGCAAAATGGTACTAGTCCTTTACCACAACATAGATCGCTTCAAGAATCTAAGGTAATTGGCGGTTGTTACAGAACGTCGAATTCGTAGGTATAAATTTGAAATATTTCATTTGAATAACGTTGCTTACAGTATTTAACTACCGTAATTCCGTATCATATGGACAGTGGCCCACCAGACAATCAGGCATTACAAGTTCTCATTAAAAGTGAGTATCACTGAATAATTATGCGAATATATTAAACACTTAACTCTGGTATTTTATTTTGCAGTATTAAAAGCAATTAGCGAAGACAGTCCAACTGTACCTACTTTACTAACAGATTATATACTCAAAGGTAAGTAAAGAAATCTTGAGTTTTTTCAAATAAATGTGTAAATTGAATGTCTAAAAAAAATAATTCTTATTTTCAGTATTGTGTCCTACTTAGTGAGCGTACCATAAATTCCTCACGGAAATCGATAAAAATCAGAAAGAAAGATATTAATTATTAACGAATACAATTTGCTCTCTTCTTGCCAATACGCTTTCAGCCGTTGTTGTGCCGCATATTCTTGCGTTAAGGCAGGTGATTTTGCTTCTAAATTGTGTCTGGAACTACACACTGTATCGACTTTAGATTCATAGATAGAATCCGTGACACTCACATCTAGTCTTACTTTATATATTATCACGTGTATATTATTTTACATAAGATATATTTCTAATAATCTATGTATGCGCTCTATAAAATACCTCTTAATCGTGTACGACTTATAAAATCTTCATTTTTGTATACGTCATCATGAATTTCGTGACAATTCAGTTTTTTGTAATTTTTTGTACATAAAGATCTTATCGAAATGTGTGAACAAATTTTACTATATTACCGAAAATATTTATATTTATGTAGAAAAATATACCAATTAACTTGTAGATTACAACATATAAACTTATGAATTTAGTATATATTGTTGTAATGCTCATGTACCTAGAATTATCTAGTAACGTATCGCGCAAAAATAAAAACATCTTGTTGCTGGAACAACCTTATGAATCTACACATAAAATCTGTTTAATAATTACATACAAGATGCCATTGAACACTTTGTGTGCGGCAACACAGTTGTTTTACACACATTACAGATATTGTGTTTGTTGAAATAAAGAAATAAATTGAACAATCTTACTATTGAAAAGTGTTATTTTTATTCATAAGAAGGCAAGTTTTCTTCTGTATAATTCATATTCCTTTTTATTAGTTAAATAGTTTTGATCTTTTTTATCAATTTTCATTTGTGTTTTAATGAATTAAAAATTGTGAAGTATTGTAACCATAATTCGATCACGTGACGAAAAGATGTTCTATTATTATCTTATATTTATTATGCAATATATATATATATGTATGTATGTATGTAGCTTATATACTGTATATATATATTTAGGATTTATTAATAACATGTAATAGGATTTAATTTCATTATCAGCAGTGTCTGTTTCGTTATTGTATATTGTACTTATATATTGTAATACCAATTTATACTTATCGATAATGGAATAATGTAAGTAAAAACATAATTGAATGTTGAACACGAGACAGTGTTTGTAAGGTTACTTCAAACGTATCCGTAGGAAAATACTTCCTTACAAATTGATTAAAAGATGATGATTACAAGACAATTAAAGGTATGTATTTAATACATGTGATAAATCAGTATTGTGATTACTTACATACGTTATTATTTAAGAGATTTGCTTGTTATTTCTTTGCATAAAACCTAACCTACAACCTTTTTTTCCATTTTATATCTAGATACCTTCATTTAAAAGTTTATCAACAATAGCCCTTTTTGGAAGTGTTATTGTTACAGCTACAGGACTTATTGTACGATATGATTTAGAAAACAAAATTCGGAAAACAGCAACTTATAAAAAGGCATTGAAATTATTTTATGATCATAAGGAAACCATTAAACATTTAGGAGAACCTATACAGGAAGGAAGAATAACGCTTCCAGAGTATAAATCTGGTAATATTAAGAAATTCGGTATTAATGTAAAGGGGGCTAACACTACAGGAAAACTATATTTTGAATATCAAGTTCAACCGGATGAAAGTACTGAAATAAAGAAGGTAGAAATTAAATTTAATGATATTGCTGATAAGATATTTGTGATTCATACAAATTAGTGTATATAATAATGAAATATATTGCATTCTTTTGTTTCTCCCTTATATTTTTGTGGTATTGTTTAAAAGTATACAAAAGTTTGTTATTATATAAGCTTCAAAGGAGGATTGACATGGCAACTTGATTATTTTTAACGTTATAATATCATCAATAAAGATGATTATAATTTATCTAAATGTCTGTAATGGCATATCTGTAACACCCTTTGGAACTTTAAGACCTCTTCTGGTATAACCAAATCCAGCTTGAATTATGTGTATAGCAGCTTCAACAGTTAATTGAATATCATGTTGATTACCAATGAAAGGATTTACTTCTACAAGATCCACTGCATTTAGTCTTTTAGTTCTGTATAATATTTCCATTAAGTGAACAGCTTCTCTGAGTGACAATCCACCACGTACTAAAACAAATAAACTGTAAGAATTAGAATAAAAATTATCTAGGCAAAAGCAGATAATTTACCAGGAGTTCCTGTACATGGTGCTTCTAATGGGTCTAAGGAATCAATATCAAAACTAACATGTAATGATTTTGATTCATTAGGATCTATTTTATTTAGTGCCATGTAAACAACATCATGAATGCCTGGACAAAGATATCATTTAATAATTGATTTGTTAATGTTTTGGTCAGCTTAAGTATATAATATTACCATATCTTTCAACATCTTCCATACCAAAAGCAGTAATACCAAATTTTTCAATAACTAATCTTTCATAACGATCAACAGATCTTAATCCAATATAAGCTACATTTCTAATTGATAACCTGTAAATAATTATAACATATTTAATATATTATTTTATCTATTTCGTTTTGGTAATATTATTGTAATATAATTACAAATTACATTGGCTGTTGCCAATCCATTCCTGGCAGATGTGGCCAGTAATCAGCTAATTCAGAAGTTAATAATGCTACAGGCATTCCATGAACATTTCCACTTTCGCTAGTTTTATTTGTATTTAGATCTGCATGAGCATCAACCCATATAACAGCTACATTTTCTTTTTCCTGTAATGGTATAAAGTATAATATACAATGTGGAAAGAAAAAACTGTAAAAAAAGAAGTAAATTATACCTTAACATGACCATCTATAGTTCCAATTCCTACACTATGATCACCACCAATAGTCAATACTCGTCGATCATCTTTCAAAATTTCTTGAACTTTCTCAGATAAATAACTTGTACAGCCAGCAACATCACCCAAGTGTGACATGTTATTTACTCCATCTACATTTTTTGCTTTATATGAAATATCACCATAATCTTTCACATCTAACCCTTTTTTAATGTAAGGAGTTACAAAAATTAGATTTTTAGTTTTTAAAACTTTGAAATCAGTGAAATATATAATAATAATTACCTAATGATTTTAATTCTCGCACTAATCCAGCTGTTCTAATTGCCTCTGGACCATGTGCTACACCTTCCTTATGCTATATTTATAATTGCTGTATATTATTACTTTATATATTATGTTACTATATTACCATGTACTATAATACCTGTCCTTTATCAAATGGCACCCCAATTATTCCAACTTTGCCATAATTGCGATTTCCAAGTCTGATAATAACACTTTGTATTTTCTTTAATATATTCATTTTGTATATATGCTGTTTTAATGTAGAATTTAATAAGCTAAAGTAACTGTTTATTGACCTATGCCCTCAGACTGTTGTAATACATATCTGTTGTAATATAGATAACACATGAGATTTACAGTACAAATTATAACATAGTTGTGCAAGAACAGAACTTAAAAAAAACTTAAAAAGTATATTAAATTGAGGATTACTACTTTGTCGTAATATTTCGCATTTATTATGTGTAACATTTCTTACAAATGATTTATTATATAAATTATTATTAGATATGTATAATTAATACGCAATAAAAATGTTTTTAGTATTTGATAATAATAATACTTATATCACAATTTACAACACGTAAACAAAAAATTTATTCAATAGCTAACAATTAAAAAATTGTTATTCTTAACTTCTTTCTGTGTGCTAAAATTTATTTGGGACCAATCATATTTTCTGGCTTCACCCATTGATCAAATTGTTCTGCAGTTATGCCATTCTTCAATGCTGATTCTTTTAACGTGAGATTTTCTGCATGGGCTTGCTTGGCAATTTTAGCAGCCTGAAAAATATAACTTTTATATTATATTTGAAGACTGTAATAAACCAGTCTTCTTTTAATTAAAAAATTGTAATACCTTATCATAACCAATATGTGGATTTAAAGCAGTAACAAGCATTAAACTCTCGTTCAAAAGTTTACTGATACGATCTACATTCGGTTTAATACCGACGACGCAGTTCTTTGTAAATGAGGCACAGGCATCACCTAATAGTCTTGCAGATCTTAATGTATTTGCAACTATCATAGGTTTAAATACATTAAGCTCAAAATGGCCATTACTTCCACCAATAGATACAGCAACTTGATTACCCATGACTTGGCAACAAACCATAGTCATTGCTTCGCATTGTGTTGGATTAACTTTACCAGGCATAATAGAACTTCCTGGCTCATTTTCAGGAAGAGATAATTCCCCCAGACCGCAACGAGGTCCACTTCCCAAAAATCGAATATCATTAGCTATCTAAATAGAAATTTTATATAACGTAAAATAACAAATATAGATTTTTTTAATCGAATATTCTTTAAACATACCTTCATAAGCGAAACTGCTACTGTATTCAGCGCACCATGCACTTCTACCATAGTATCTTTAGTCGCTAAAGCTTCAAATTTATTAGGAGCAGTTACAAATGGTAATCCAGTAATTTCTGCAATCTTTGCTGCTGATTTTTCCGCAAAACCTTTTGGTGCATTTAATCCTGTTCCTACTGCAGTACCACCAAGTGCTAACTCATATAATCTTGGAAGAGTATCTTTTACCCTTTTAATGCCATTACAAACTTGTGCTGCATAACCTGTATTACAATTATTTGCTTTTATAAAAATAGTTTAATACATATAATTTAATCCTGAATATTTTAACCCCAACCTGAAAATTCTTGTCCTAGTGTTAAGGGCACAGCATCTTGAGTATGAGTTCTACCAATTTTTATAATATCTTTCCATGCATTAGCCTTTTCTTCTAATGCTTCATGTAATTTTTCCAAACCAGGAAGTAATACCCTGTTAATTTCCAAAGCAACTGCTATATGCATAGCAGTAGGAAATGTATCATTGCTACTTTGAGATTTATTTACATGATCATTTGGATGGACAGGATCCTTTGATCCAAGTTTACCACCAAGTAATTCAATTGCACGATTTGAAATTACCTAAATAGAATAAATAAACTAGTTACAAGTCTATCCAATTATACTTAAATTATTTAATAATGTGTCAATACCTCATTGGTGTTCATATTGCTTTGCGTACCAGAACCTGTTTGCCAAATTACCAGTGGAAAATGATCTTTATAAAGGTCTCCACATATAACATCATCTGCAGCTTTACTAATAGCATCTGCTATTTTTGCATCCATTCCATATTCTTTATTTACAAGTGCAGCAGCTTTCTTTAATATACCCATTGCGACAATAACCCCATACTAAAGAAATATTCAAAATATAAACTAAGAATGTTATATGCATTAAAACTTCCTTTTTCTATAATAAATAATTAGATTTCCTTACAGGCATTCGTTCAAAACTATCACCAATTGGAAAGTTCATTTTTGACCGCATTGTTTGTGCTCCATAATATTTGTCAGCAGGAACCTTTAGTTCACCAAAAGTATCCCTTTCAATTCGAAATTCACCACTGGACTCCTGAAATTACAACATTAAAAATTTATTATAATACTAATGATGAAATTTGTTTATAAAAATAATTTATGCTCATATACCATATTGAGAAGGTAAATTATATAATAGAACTGAATGAATATAGCTTCAAAATGAGTACTATAGCAGTTTGAACAGAGGAAATTGAAGGTCAGTCAGATGAAACCATGTATGTGATAATAGATATGTACTCAGATAGATTTTTATGCTTGTACAATATCAAATTAAAAAAAAGGGAACACAACACAAAAGAATTATATACATAATTATGTAATATAAAAATGAAATATATAAATATAGTATCTTCCATTATATAAACATAAGGATTTAATATGTCACGTTTAATTAATATTTTCTATAAAATAAAAAATTTGTATCATACCATCTTGTTTCATAAAATTCATTCCACAATCTCTATTTTCATTGAAAAAGTTCCTGTTTTCGTTTTCGTTTAGAGATGATTAATTCGATTAAATGTCAAACGTGTTCAATTGTTATATTACAAATGACATTGTAACATCTCAAAAATATGCTAAAAAAATTATATATGACAAGGCAGTACATTTTTTGTTTATAATATTCTGCAAAATTATTTCAAGAACTTAGTTCTTTAATGATTATGTAAAAATAATGCACGAACTAATTTAAAGATTTTAGACGAGAATAGTAGAAAAGAGTAAATTGCGAGAAAGAATAAATAAAACAATTTAGCTATAAATTTAAGAAAGCGTTATTGAGAAATGATACATTTTTAAGTCATAAGATTTATTTTATATGACATAGTAGTACCTTTTTATTGCCTTTAGAAACTACCGATGTATACAATGACAGCCTTAATGTTAAAAAAGCCGATGATTTCTTTAATTCCAATAATCCATGATTGATAAGTGAACATTTCAATAAACTTAATGTCATTTTAATAATTTTTAACGTCTAGTTTTTTTCAACAATCGTTCCAGAAGTTAAAAAGGATCGAAAGAATAAGTAAAAATGACTGAAAACGACACAAGAGCAAAAGCTCTGATAGAAGTGTGCACTAACGAGTAGCTTGAAAACTAAGCACAAAATATGTTATAGTTAGATAGATTCTACGTGAGCTGAGTGAAGATATCAATTTTATTGCAGTTGCAAACATACAGTCAAGATATTGTGCGCAAATAAATAAGACCGTGATTGGTTTATTTAGTACATTAACTGATTTTAATTAGTTTAATATTATTACAAATAAAAATGTATTCTGTTAGATTGCAATAAGATTATTTGGAGTTTATGAAGTGTTATTCTTATAAAAATCGTCTTAGATGTATTTTAATAGAAACATGTAAAAGAAGTAATCGAAAAGTTTACATGTTGGTATTTGAAATTTCTGATTGGTGAGCCACCATCCTGGTTTCCAAAAACATGAACTTTCAAACATACCATATAAACGTACATATGAAATTCTTTTCTTTTTGAATTGTTCTTCTTTCAATTACGAATACAATGTCGACCAATTAATAGTATGTTAATTATCGGCTAAATTATGTAGTATTTTTACCAACCTATTAACTTTCGTCGCCATTGTATTTATGTTATATGTGCGTGGTGGTATTGCGTGTAGTTGAAGTAACAAAATTATGGTGTATTTTTGAAAAAAACGTCATCTAAATAGTAGTCGATAACAAACCGATAAATTTGTGTAACACGGTCTTATCATACTAGTCGTATGTCAATTGGAACTGGGAATTTCTAGTGATATCGAGAGTAATTATTCAACGATTAAACGAAGCGGTTAACGCGTTTATTGAATTTTAATAACTTTAGCAAAATTTTAAGATTTACGTCTCATGTAAACAGCACGAGAATCTTTACATGTCATCCCGCTTAATGATCCTTATTATGTAATTTATGCAAAAGGGAATGCTATGCACAAAAAATTGTGGTTAAAACTTCGTCGAGTTTGCATTACAAGTGGTGTCTTTCGAAAATGACTGACTTTTCTTCCTTTTCTACTTTTACGAGGTAAGTTAAAAACGTGTTTTATCAAATGCAACATGTCCCGTTCCCAACTTCTATGTAAATAAACAAACGTTTCTTACTACAATTACAAGTTATTTTACGAACAACATGTCTTCCAACTTTTAATTTGATAAAAAATACGTTTTTTATCCTTAACCTAGAATGTCACGAGTACCGGGCTTCTTGTTCTCAAGTAATTTCTAAAATAATTTGAAATCATTGTAGCATTTTAGCATAATCAGTTGTATTTTTTAATTTCTTGTAATATATGTTTAAAATTTATTTAACTGAGATATGAAACCCGACTTTGGTATATAACCATTGCACATAACCGATCATTAATGTTAGATTAACTTATATTTATTTTTCAATTAAAATCCTGGAAAAAAGCTTAATTTTAAGTTTAGAAAGCGTAATGTGCTTTGGAGAGGCAATTTCTAGAATTAAGAAATTTTGTATGATATTTATTGGTTTTATTTAAGATGTTGTTTAAGTTGTGAGTTAAAGTGTGGTTTAAGTATAATTACCTAAAATAAATGTTTTCAAAAGTTAATTATTGTAATCAAGGAACAAAATATCAATAAGAGTTTTACGAGCAAAAATAATATTATTTCTTTTTGCAAAGTTATATGATGAAATTTTACATTAGTATGACAAATATTATTGCAGACAAAGAATGTTTTTGTATATTTATTGGATGCAAATTAAATTTTATGTAACGGAATCACATTATTCTATTAAATTATAGTTTAGCCATATTGTTATGAAAGATATAAACAATAGTCTTATGAGCCCCCAAAAGTTTAATAAAAGAAATAAAAATAAATATTTGAGTATTTAAGAATTATTTTTATGACTATAAATTTTAGTATATTTATGAATTTGCAGGGTAATCAATAAAGTATTAAATTTTGTAAAATGTACTATTAGAACCACTTTTGTGATACTCAACAATATTTATTGTATACCAACATATGTAGTATGGATGACATTATTGTTCCCTGTAAAAGTTTATCAACCACAAGTATATTGGAGAATCGAAGGATTATTTTTCCATTGGCTGTTAGCAATGGTATCCACGTGGACTTGGTCTGCAGGTTATGATAGTGAGTATACAAATAATTTATATATTTAATTAAAATAGCATTATTAAAATAATACTGAAATAACAAATAACATTTAATTTATAGTAATAGAACAAGGTGATGATATACAAGAAATTATTAGTGAAAGAACATTAGTAATAGCAAATCATCAAAGTACTGGTGATGTTCCTATACTCATGACAACATTTAATGCTAAGCCAAATGTATTACCTAATCTAATGTGGATTATGGATAGGATTTTTAAATTTACTAACTTTGGTATAGTTTCTATTTTACACCAGGACTTCTTCATTGTATCTGTAAGTGATTATAGATTTGTTAGTTTATTAATAATATCTTAAGTAACTAGGTTACTTTATTTTTGATGATATTTTGTGTTAGGGTCGAAAACAAAGGGAAGGGAGTTTAAAAAAGCTAGAAAAGCATTTAAAAGAAGCATATATTCCATTGAGCAGAAAATGGATGGTTCTCTTCCCAGAAGGAGGATTTTTATGTAAAAGACGAGAGACATCACAAAAATATGCTAAAAAGAATAATTTGCCAATTCTTGAAAATGTAACGTTACCGCGAGTAGGAGCAATGCAAACTATATTTGATACGATTGGTCCATCACAAGAAAATAATACAGCAGAACAACAATTGAACAGTAGGCCAAGTAAATAATTTTATAGAAACTGTAGTTTAACTTAAGTTCTTGTTTAATTACAATATATTAAGTAATAATATGTATTGCTAATCTGTATAAACTTTTTATAGATATGACGGCAGCTAAACCACAAATCAATTGGATTCTAGATATAACGATAGCATATCCTCAAGGTAAACCACTTGACTTACCAACAATTATAACTGGTTCACGACCACCATGTGAAACAGTATTATTTTACCGAGTTTTTCCTAGTTCAGTGGTGAGTTTTTTAAATATATGTAGACCGTCACCCATTCATATTTTCCATGAGAATATTTTATTACATCATTGATTTTAGGTCCCACGAGAACCAGAATTATTGTCTAAATGGTTATATGATAGATGGGTTGAAAAAGAATCACTTTTGGAAAACTTTTACAAGTATGGATCATTTCTTGGCACTCAAGCACCTGTCAATGAAGGTTCTAAAATCCATCAGGATCCATTGAGATTCCTAGTCCTTCATTTATTTTTTATAACATCTAGTTATATACATTATAATATGTTTACGTATGTACTATCTTGCTTTTGGTAAAGCGTTTTATACTATACAAGAAATTACGTTCAGATACGTAAGTAAAATTAAATTGTAGTAAAGTAAAAATATTCCTGCCTCAAATATTATTCTTGATGTTAACTAACAAAACTAACGGATGTATGGATTGTCAATTTCAAATGAATGTTTGTAATCTAATTATGCCATAGGTAGTGAATTGCAAGTACCCGTTTCGTTACCATTCAGGTTTAATCGTCATTATTTGCCTATTTTGTTGATGGTACGAATATAATTTCAAGTATGCTTCATATTACAATAAGTTATCAACAACTTTATGAAGGACTGGGATCTCCAAAAATATTAATTTGAGACACTTATTTGCTGCTATTTTTCCATATTGACTTCACAACAATAACTTACAATTCGCGGTATAGTATAAAACGCTTATATTTGATAAACAAAATTAATAATAATAGTTCGTTAATAAGTTTATTTTACTTGGATAACTAGTAATTCAAGATAATATCAGTCTATTTTATTAAGTATCAACGCTTAAATTTCTGGATATATAAAGCTTCATAATATTTTGCATGAAATACTATTACGTTTTAAAAACGATTCAAGTTTTTTTTTTATAATAAATTCACGATAAAATTACACTTCAATATTCATATTGCCTATATAAAAGAATAATTTAATGTTTGTTGATTCAATTATAATATCTAATGCTACTAGTTGCATGATAGTTTTAAAACATTCTCTATTGATATAAATGTTATCTTTTTATTTGTTCATTTATTATAAATTGCAAAAATGTATCTATATTTGATTATTTGTCTGGAGGACTTGGCAGCATTTCAGGCGATTTTCATAGTATCCTGCACGTATGTTTTGTAATACGATGTCTTAAATATTATCTTGAAATGGAATTGCGAAATGTAATAGTAAATTGTTACTGCTGTTTTGAAGCAGTGATAGTAAATACCATTTCAAAGAATATCCATTTATTTGTGATACATGATAAGAAAAAAGTATTTTTCAATGCGAAGTCAATCATATAAACATAATTTTTTAAATTACATACTAGAAAACTTATATAAGTTCATAACTCTATGAAGAAGTAGATGTGAAATTTGACGTAAATTGTTTTGAAACTTAGCAGAAATAAAAATAAAATAATATCTTTGGAAATCTGTCAAAATAATTAAGGTGTGTACTTTATTGTTAAACTTCAACCAATAATAACGCTGTTCAGTGAAAGAAGACGATACGTCAGCCGTGCCTTGTTCCTACGGACAAACCTCAGTGTTAATTGTATATACGCATATGCAAATCTCATGCATAATTTTCATAGTCAAATCAACGCCTACAATTAGTTCTTAAGATATTCATATTACATCACTTTATAAAGGAGGAATTTTGCATGTATGTAGAAATAATAGAGTTATTAAAGACAGGTTTTTAATGCTGCCTAATTGGTTATTGTAAAATAAACGTATAGTCCAAATCGAAAGCAATTTCTAGACTGATGGATCAAAGAAGTAATTAGCCAATGCACACACGAAATAAATATTCCTTGTCATGGAATAGCTGTAGTAGTTAAATTTTGGTTATGATTATTATTAATGGGAAATTTTTAAAATGTAACAAATTCAATAAGATCAATGTTGATATCAACTGATAGACATAGATATTATTTATGTATAAAAGATTAAGTTTCTATAATATACGATTGCGCGCATTAAAACACGGAAATTTCGAACACAAATTTATATGAAAGTGTGTTATTAAAATATACTATTATTCCTGACATCTTTTGCATTTGATTGCATTTAATATAAAATATGTAGACACAAACTATCTTCAAGTATCTTATAGGCAGTATCATGATAGGAAAAAATGATCAAATCAAAAGAATTTAGATTTGCGAATTCACTGATTTCTTGTATCCTATTTATGTCATAAATGCATTTTTACTTGATAAGATGATAAAACGCTGTTATTGTTTTATTTAAGAGAATACTTTAAATCATGATGAAATCTCTAGTCTTGGTAGCAAATTTTAGAAACAATAAAACGAGGTTCTAAATATGTCACCAATTGTACTATAAGGGATTATTAAATTTATGAAAATAATTTATGTTTTTGCATTACGAAAGCTGCAGTACGTCGTTTAAAGTTATTCAATTAAAAGAAATAAAATTAACTATATTGCTAATAAAAAAAAAAGGTTACAAAATATACATTAAGATTCTGCTAATACTTAATTGTAATGTAAAAATAGCATAAATAAGTTCTTATTTATGTTTAAGAATATAGAAAGGAAACAAAACAAAATGTAACATAATGCTAATTGCATAATAACGTATTTACTCCATTATAAGGGCCAATATTTTCGAGATATTTAGCCACATTAGATTTAAAATAAAACATATAGTACAATAAAAATTAAAATGTCAAGATTCATTAATAATACAAAATGCTGTAATTAAAAACAATGTTGTATTTATTACAAAATATATTTATAACTCTATGGTTATTACATTAAGCATTTATTTCTGTGCTGTGTGTGAATTACAAAGCATATTGTTGAAACCTATCACATTTTATACAGCACACTCTCTAACAAAATATCAGTATGGAGAAGAAAACTAAATAATGAAGAACTGGTTGTGTTTGCTTGTGCTTTAATTTTTTTACTCTTAGTGCTTTCATAAAAGTATTTCTATAAGAGGCATTTATATTTATTATATTTCAAACAAAGCTTTGTTATTATTACAATATCAAAGCTTGTTTTACATATTATTACCTTATATTCTTTTTTAAAGATATACATAAGTAGCATTTAAGATTTGTAATGTTATAGATAAAATAAAAATATCGAAGTTGAAGACTTTACAGTATATACTGATATTTGCAACATTAGTGTCCTGTATGAAAGGTGTTTAGAAGCTTTGATTTTATACTTGTACATTGCATACGGTTTTTTAAAAAGTATAAACATATAGCTAAAAAAGTGTTTAACTATTTTTTCAGAAGAAAGTCATTGTAACAATATCCGCGAAGGAGATGTGTAACGCTCAAAAAATGATAGGTCATTTCTGTGCAATGCACGAGGCAAATATATTACACTTCATATTTGTATCATAAAAATGTTTACACAATTTGCCGTGTTTTTGACTGCATCTTAGGTATGACTGCATATTGATATTCATAAATATTATATAAAAACAAATGTAAAAAAGATGTAACTTAGCGTAAGTCCCCGAAATTTTACAAGAAAATACCTTGCTTGTATTCTTTTCTTATAAGAACTTTAATAAAATTGTTTTTAAATTACGTATAAAACTTTTTTTGCATAATTTAATTTGTTATTATATTATTATTCATTAATTTATTTTTCCCTTGATAAAACGTTTCTTAATGAATCATGCGTACTGAAGTAGAATGAAATTTTGAAATTCCACAAGGCGGTACAGTGGCGACGTGTGGTGTCAGATGAATAAATTACACTAGTTGCATTTACTTGATCTGGACCTGAGCAGATCTGAGTTTGGATTTAGTGTCTTCCTGTCATAAATCACATTTATATCACGTTTATTTACTTAATCTTTTATTGCATTTAAAACATGACGACTCTTAGGCCTTTCACATGCAACGATTTATTTAAATTTAACAATGTGTGAGTATCGAAATATGTATTTATCCATTGTTAATATTGTGTTTAACCTAAATATACAATTTTGAATAAAAATAGTTATTTACTAACATTTCTAATTATTCTATATTTTATAGAAATTTAGATCCACTTACGGAGACAGTATCCTTTAAATATCTTATACCTTATTACGTTTGTTGTTTAAAATAAACATATTTATTTCCTACACAATTTTGGTATATATTTTTCTTAATTTTAAATTTGTTAAAATTTTACTTGGTAAAATTTTAAACTAGTATGGACTTTCTTTTTATACACACTATCTAGCACATTGGCCAGAGTATTTTCAAGTAGCTGAATCGCCAAGTGGAGAAATTATGGGTTATAGTAAGTTTCTTTCTTGTATCGTATAAGATACTTCTCCTTGATAGTGCATTATAATTAATATTAGAAATTTAAAGTTATGGGAAAGGCAGAAGGGCAAGGAGAGAACTGGCATGGTCATATAACAGCTCTTACAGTTTCACCTAATTATAGGAGATTAGGTTTGGCTGCAATGTTAATAGAATTTTTAGAGAAGGTTTCAGAAAAGTAAGTTTAATATAACATATTTATTTAATATTAACATATATATTCTATGTTTCAATGTATTTTATATTGTTACAGGAAGCAAGCATATTTTGTAGATCTCTTTGTAAGAGTTAGTAATAAGGTGGCAATCAAAATGTATCAACAGTTAGGATATATTGTTTATAGGACTGTTTTAGAATATTATACTGGAAACCCAGATGAAGATGCTTTTGGTATACGAATTATTGTTACTTTTATAAACAATTGTTTAAATATAAATTGAATATTCTGTTCTTTTCTTCTTTCAGACATGAGAAAAGCACTTTCAAGAGATGTGAAGAAAAAATCAGTAATACCATTAACTCATCCTGTAAGACCTGAAGAAATAGACTGAATCTATATTATGATTATGTATATTGCTAAGGATTTAATCCAAAATAAATGATAGATTTATAAGAAGCATACAAATTGTATCGTGTGATAAGGTTTTTAATACGTACAGTAAGTAAATAAGTCTCTCAAAGTGTAGATCCGAGCAGTTTATTTCTCTTCCTGTACAATAGTACAATGCTTTTCGCTCACACCGCTCGTGCCCTTATGCGTCGTTTTATGCGAATAAATAATAAATAGAAATGTAAGGTGGTAGGCTCAGAATATTTTGTAGACAGCTAGACGATCGCAAGAAATTTCTACCACGATTGTAGCCTTTATCAGCTGCCCTCTTCTCATTCTACTATATTTAGAAACTTAAGACTAAGGTGATATTTACAGATCAGTGACTCTTTTTTACTGCATCATGATACAAAGGTGCTAAGCACCTAAATAGTAGCATTTCATTGCGTATTATAAAAATTAAAGACAAAATGTCGTTCTTGCATATCTTTGTACTGCTCCCAGTAATCTGAGGTTTCTATCGTTTTTATTTTATATAAATCTTCAATGCGCTAAACAAAGCCGTGCATAGAGTTACTTTGTCTATACTGCTCAGAGAGGCACAGTCACACTCAGCCTATCTCAGGAATTATAAAATTATAGAAGTCTTGTACATATTGCACGAAAGCCCTACTTTTAAACTTTTATTTATTTCTGGATACTAAAGAGAAGGAAGACATTTGCTAGTTATGTAGGACACGTCAAGCGAGTACAAAACTTCTATACGTGACGGGATCATCGTTTAATTAGTACAAAAATGTTGCACGTATGTTACCGCAGGAACGATACTAATTATTAAAGAAAACGCGTTCCCATTACATCTATTTGGTCGTGTCCTTATAAAACGAACTTATTTGCTTAAACATTAAATAAATATAAAATATGAGACTAGCTGTTATCAAAATAACATGATAATGTGTAAGTTGCATTTGTCATTTTCCGTACAAAGAATTTTTTTCTTATGATTGAGCTTAAATTCAACCAGACTTAAAGTTAATACTGTCTGTACTTACTGTCACCAATCAACCATATTTCTCAAATTAGTCATTATAAAATATAAAAGAAGTAATTAGTCAATGCAATAAAAAATCGTGTACAACACTTTTTAAATTAAAACAGATCATTATGTGAATAATGTAGTGATCGAAGGTAAATTTTGAATTTACAATGACAGTAGGTACAGTTATTACGCTTGAAATATCTTTATATTTGAAAAATCTAAATACTTATATCCATGTGTTTTTATTTGCACTGCAAAGCAATTGCAGGCTCCTCGTACGTGTACTGCGATCGATTTGGCAAGAAATAAGAATTTCGTCGACATATTCTCACATTAAAGACAAAGGTATCGCTGCATCACTCACTAGACTTCTAAACATCCATTAACTCCGATTAATTATATACATATGTGATACATCACTTCTGCATCATTATCTTACGCTAAACGTTTTGAATTTGGTATATAAATACGGTAGCAAAAAGTTTCAGCACGATGCCTTAGCTTTTTTTAATGAAATTATTCGATGTAATTTCAGACATACTAATTTATTTTAGGCAGTGTTGCAAATCGTTTTCGATTAATTTCAGTCACCCACGTTTAAATCGCGTTAACGTGGACCACAGAGTTTTGCATGCTGTCAGGTATGTACACAAAAACGTTGTCTGTCAAGCATCATCTCTAATTTACACAAAACGCAACTAAAATCAACTACAGCGCACACGTTGCTGAGCGTCGTCCAGTGTATCGTTTTACGCAAATTCTTACAATACAGCCTGTAGTACCTTCGAATATAAAGTTAGTGCCTTGGCAGGATCAGACTTTCATGAACGAAGTGCCGTATTCCCCTGCTTTTTTTTCCCAATTCGATTGACCAGTCTTTTTTTAAGGTCTTTGGTGGTCTGGCGTCGACTTTAAAATATCTGGTTGCGTTGGAAGACAGCCTGAACCTAGTTCAATTGTTATTTAATCAGTAAAAACAGAGAAAAAATGAAATACAAAAGTATGTATTTTTACAAACCCGTTGTAGGTCTTAAGGTCGATTTGATGGATCTGTGAGACCCATTACGAGTTAATGTGTTCATCTGTGGCGTGCCAGGTAAAGTATGTCCCAAGGCGTTCATGTAATCGGCAATCAACAATGTTATCTCCAGAATCTGTATAGATGCGAATAGATAATATTTAATATTTAGAAATCTTGCTTTAATTAGATTGCTCGACAATATACCTTAGGTTTTGATAGAGCAAATAAAAGTTTTTGTTCAGCTGCTCCTTCGTCAGGGCAAGCGACCAGCATAAAATCATCCAAACATCCTCCAAATGTAACTATGTTCGCATAATTATAACGACACATCACTGCCATCGTTTGTAATTCTAGAAGAGTAACACTATCTTCGGAAACGGCTATCCATACGGTTATCGGCTCAGCTTGCTTCAACTATGAAACAAGACATTTTTAAATAACTTTCTTTTTCATTTTTGTTTATCTATAAATATGTCCCGTTATTAACCTTTGCTTGATAGAGTGTAGCTCCAAAGAAAGGCCACTTCCTGGTACAAGTTAGATATATGCGAACACAGTCTAATACGCTACGACCTTTTAACGCGATCCACTTTTCTTGAAGTTTTTCTTGCAGTTCTCTGCAACAAGAAATCCGTGAATTTAAACACAGCTGATACTTATTTATGTTCTTTGTAATTTACATGGTACTTGCCTTAATTGCTCGGCAGTGATGTTTGTCCGATATCGTATGGGATAAAATTTGTCTAAAGCTTGAAGCACCAAATGATGAGGATTGCATCCTGGGCCGCTGCCTCGAGCTTTATCGTTGTTATATTCACCAAAATCGATCTACAACGTTTCATCGTCACATTAACAGTATTTTCATTAAAAAACTGCACCATTATTTTCAAAGAGTAACTTTACCTGTGCCATTAACGACGCAAGTTCAAATGCAAGTTCTCGATTGACCGGAAATTTGCCTTGTACGACTTGCTGATTTATTTGGTAACACAGAAGAAGCCTTTCTCTGTCGGTTTCCATCTTAGCTGCCTGTCTCCAATAGCATCGCGATTTGTACGTTAATTGTATCACCCTGGTATTCTCGAATTTTCCCGAGCCCTTCTCTCTTAATGCGGTTTCCCATTTGGAGATTATATCACAAAGCTGCAACGAATAAAATTATCGCGTCGGAATATTTTCGTCTACCGTAATTTCCAAACTCTCCCGAGGTGCATACTTTTGCCTGAAGATCGATGAAATGTTCAAGATCCTTCTCGATGGGATCGTCACTGAATAACGTGAAACCCGATTGATGAACATCTCGGCAACCGATTTCCTGGTTCAGAGTATTCAGAAATTCTTCTATCGTTGTGCTGCCATCGAAGCTTACAACCTGATACGTCCCATTCAAGAAGTGAACCGGTATCGCATGTGGCAGGGAATGATGGTAGGGATTTTTCATTAATATCGATAGGACCTCCATCCTCGAGGGCTTCACCTCCCTTCCGCCGTTTTGTAATGTCCTTTCCAACGCTCTTTCGCAATAGGCTGCGTATTTGCCGCACTCCGTTCTAACAAAATAACAAATTCATACGTTTAAATTAACATGTTTCGATTGAAATTTTGAAATTTGAACGCTAATAGAACGAATGAAGGCTACTTACTTAGTATCAGCGTTTCTTTGCAAGTGTAACTTCAGGTACCAGAGTAGCCGATTGTTTCTTGGTAGGAATAGAGAAACAGCGAGCGCGAGCAGCTGCCATCCCTGGATAAGAACGTACTGGGCGGGATTAGTTTTGCAGTCCAAAATCGTTGACGTCGAGTGGCCCTGCATGAGCGGAGGACTGTGAGAAGTGGAGGCCGTCGACTGTGCGTCCGCATTTTCACCGCTGCCATTTGCCGCGGGACTTTGCGTATCGCAGGTGAACAGCGATTGCGTGGCGCAGAGAAGGAGCTGCTGCAATGGTATGCTGGCATACTACTATATCCCTGGATCGAACCAGACCTAATCTACTACTTTATTTTTTTTTTTTTTTTTTTTTTTTTAACTGCGTATTTGCCGCACTCCGTTCTAACAAAATAACAAATTCATACGTTTAAATTAACATGTTTCGATTGAAATTTTGAAATTTGAACGCTAATAGAACGAATGAAGGCTACTTACTTAGTATCAGCGTTTCTTTGCAAGTGTAACTTCAGGTACCAGAGTAGCCGATTGTTTCTTGGTAGGAATAGAGAAACAGCGAGCGCGAGCAGCTGCCATCCCTGGATAAGAACGTACTGGGCGGGATTAGTTTTGCAGTCCAAAATCGTTGACGTCGAGTGGCCCTGCATGAGCGGAGGACTGTGAGAAGTGGAGGCCGTCGACTGTGCGTCCGCATTTTCACCGCTGCCATTTGCCGCGGGACTTTGCGTATCGCAGGTGAACAGCGATTGCGTGGCGCAGAGAAGGAGCTGCTGCAATGGTATGCTGGCATACTACTATATCCCTGGATCGAACCAGACCTAATCTACTACTTTATTTTTTTTTTTTTTTTTTTTCTTTAAATAAATCGCGCTCCACTGTCCTCGTTTATTATTCGTTTGTAGAATCTGTTTTAACAGGACAATCGAGGGTACGTGTTTTAAAATCTTTTAGACCTGTGCAGCTCATCGAGTTTCTAATATGCATTTGGAATTGTACGAGGAGTGTCTGGGACAAACGTTCGAATGCCCTCGGATCTCATGGAACACTCTAGATTCGTTACACTTTCGTCATAATATAATGCCTGTTAGTAATGTAAGCAATCGAAATCGGTCTGATTAACGCATAACTCTATGTGTGTTAATCACATAAAACGCATGAACTGTAATAAGTCGAATGAATTAAGAGAAATGTGGATGAGATAAGCGCTTTCGTAATTTTTTAGGCCATGTGAGTCTACCTTACAGCTCGAAACCATTTTTCTCTCGTTCGTTTGTCACGAACGAATCGCTCGAACGCGCACTTTCCTCTTATTATTCTCCTTGACACTTGATACACTGTAC